GCGCGAGGCACGCTGCACGTCCGGCGCCGGTCCGCCGACATACCTCTTCCCATTCAACCGTTTTTGCAGCCCGCCAAGCATCTCCGCAACCTATCGCTGTCGTCGCCGCCGAAAGGCCACAGCTACCAAGATCGCCAAGGCGCTCGCTGCGTGAGCTGTCGCCCGCACACACTTCCGTCCACGGCGATTACAAGCCCGCCCCACCCGCCCAGCTCATCGTCACGCCGCCGCCTCTCGAATGCGAGCTACGAAACGCAGGAGGACGACGATGCAATGCTGCATCTCTCGGCGCCGCTGGCCGAGCGCAACGTACGACGCCTTTTTCTATCCGAGTCTCTACTGAGTGCTTTGCGTCCGTAGCCGCTCGAGTCGTACGACGTGACGTGGGTGCACGACGATGACGTGGCTGCGTGCATGGTGTGTCAGTCGTCCTTTGGCTTTTTCTTCCGCCGTCACCACTGCCGTGTACGACGCCCTGCGAATCGTGCATGGGGTTCACGGTGCCGCGTAGAGTTGTGGCAACGTCGTGTGCTCGCACTGCGCCAAGTCGCGGCGTCCCGTGTACGGACTCCTCCACGCCCACCGCGTTTGTGACGAGTGCGTCGTCAACGGCGTCTGGACCGACCCGCGCGACGTGCGCGCGGGAATTCAGCTGAAGAAGGAGGCCGCGCGCGACGAGCTATCGCGTGTCAAGCTCGGTGCGTTGCACGGGATGATAGCCCATCAGTGGACAGAATACACGTGTAGAACTCGACAGCGTGCGGTCGCGGCTGCACGAGCTCGATGCGTCTCCAGCCAATGCGCCGCCTCCAGGCCCGCCGCATTGAGGATACAAGCAACGCGCATCCTGTGGAGGGACGCGACGTTGCTTCAATCACTCCTCGTCCAAATGCAGCTGCAGCGGTCGTCGAGCAAATAGAACCGACGGGGCCACTACCGTACGAGATGACCGGTGTAAGTCGCGCAAGGACTAATGCCGCAGCAGTGCCGTAGAGACCATGCCGCCCTTGGCGTTCGGAACAATTGAAATGTGCGTTGGACTCGTCGACCTAATGACATTACACTCACGGGTATTATCCTCGTAGCGAACTTCCTGCGCCGCCACAACTGCCTCTGCAAAGCTCCATGATCTTGCTGCGCGACCACGACATGCTGGCGCGCCCCAGCGCCGTTGCTCGCTTCGTAAGAGGCCCGACGGCGCCACCTATATTCTTTAACTACCACTCCTGTATAGACGACGCGATCTTCGTCGTGCACGGGCGACTGCTGCTGCATTTCGTAAGGCGATCATCCAATTTGCTAAACTACAAGTGTATATGATATTGTCGTCTTTGACTATAATAGTACTATTTCCTAACGGTAGGGGCTTCTAAAATACGGGGGTCGTGGTTCAATGGTACAGCATCGTGCGCGGCCGCTTGGCGGACGACGGAAACACCCGCTCGTCGAGCAGTTGCTTCATCTCGTCGCGCGAGATGCGCGCGGTCGGGACGGGTTCACGGTCCACGGCAGCGTCGGCGACACCGACAATCTCGGGCGCATCGGCGAACGTGACGCAGCGGCGCTTGCGCTTCTTCCGCGGACGCTCGGTATTGACGTTTTGAAGACGGTAAAAGGCGAGGAGGCACTCTTGGCGGTAGTACTCGGTGATGCACTCTTCGTGGTAGTCGGCGTACCGCGACGAAAACTTGGCGGCCGTCGGCTCTTGAAACGCGATCGTGTACCGCGGCATCTCGTTCAAATGGCATAGCATCATGGTGGAGTGGTGCAAATTTGGAAATGACAAGATGCAGAGAGATTGAACCAGTCGATCGCGACACGCGCCACATGGCCGTGACACACGTCTTCGTTCCCAAGGTGTAGAATATCGCTGTCAGCGTTACGGACGACTTTGCCCGTTGCTCGCGACCGCCTGGGGACGACGAGCGTGACGGAACCTACTGACAAGATGGGATAAAACGCGTTTGACCGCCTCGCGTCCCACTCTTTCCGCGTCGTCGCGCATTTGACCCCGTTTTGCGCCGTGCGGCGCTCGATCCTGGATGCTCCTTGGTTTTTTAATGCGTACTGGCACATTTGGCAACCACCCACGAGCCACGAGCCGAGGGCCGCGGATGTTGTCCCCCGACAGAATCCTTGTGTGCGTACGCCTTTAGCTCACGGGTTTTATTACGTTGGTGGTGGGTTTTATTATCCAACGACTATGAACAGCATTGCACACGCGTGAGTCACCGTGCACATACACTGAGAAACCAAGCGGTTGGCCGTCATAGGGCGTGTGCTATGAAGTGCGGCGCTGAATTGCTCAAGGAGCGCCGAGCTGGAGCGCAGGGGTAGTTGGCTATATGTCTCCTTGCGGTCAGCGTGGGCTCGTGCAAGGCGCATTGCTTAGTGCGGAGGGTAATGGTTTCGGGGGTACATAGTCGGTACCCTGTCCAACGGCACATCTTGTCCAACCCGTTGGTTACCAGAGAACCAACGGCTGCGTCGAATGCACATGTCGATGTGGTAACACGCAGCAATGTCAGATTTGCGGTCGCTGGACGTTGGCTTCGATGGCACGTATCTGTCTGAGCGTAGGACTGGTCATCGATAGTACCGTAAGCGAACAATAGAAGGGACATTACGGCGCCTTTTCGAGCTGGTACGTCAAACGCCTTGCAGAGCTGTTGAGCCATTTTGAGCTGGCATTTTATGACCACGACGAGGAGGAGGATCGTGCATTCGTTGCACACTTGAGAAACGTCTTGAGCACCACACGCGGTGGCTCGTGCGTTTTCGCGACAGTTTAGCAGGGTGATTTGTGCTGGGCGCTACACCGGTTTGTTTGCGCGCTTTGGTTGGCTTCGAAGGACGTAATTGCGCACACCTGCCCGTGTAATACACCCTCGACGAATACTCGTGTAATGAGTCGATGTACAAGCAGGTGCACTGCGCGTCTGAGTCGAACACGATTGTAGCACGCCACGTCACCGCCTTTCTTTGTAGGATTCTGGCACGAACTGTGCTGCGTCATCCGACAGTTCGGATGCCAAGCATGGGCCTACAGCGCATCCTCGCTCGTTCCTGCTCGTCATCCGATTGCGGTCGACATGCCCACATGGGCGTTGTTGAAAAAAGCCGGGTTGTGTAGCGTCGCTGGTGCGATGCTTTTTCCTTTCAGTGCGATTCAGGTGAAGCGCGGTACTCTCCAAGGTGCTCTCTGCAACTTGATGCAAGTTCTGGGTGAATGTCCCGAACCACTTCTCACGCGGTGCCAACTGCTCTCCCACCGCCGTCCATTGGAAAATCTGAGTCTACAACATCTGCTCGCACCCAAGTGTGTATCGATGCAGCTCGGACCTGCCATAATACATATACTACCTCGTAGAGGTTATGAAAAAGATGCTCTTTAGCAATTATGTATTTCAAAAGGTAATCAACGCAAAACCTGTCACACTTAATACGGAATGACTAAACCCACGCCATTTATGTCGCAGCAAGCACAACGCCGTCCTTAGCAAACAGAGTGGTCCTCTGTGACGCATGCCCCCTACCACAACCTATTCTTACTTGAGAGCTGATGCAACGCGAGATGGGCTGGATCATGAATCTTCTACAACGCCACGACGCCCACGCCGTGTATACGTTGCGTGCGAATAGCCTGTGCGTCGATCCCATTCGTTTTCAGAGGGTTTGATAAAAATATCCGAGCACCAATCCTTCTCGGAGCACAGTCCCTTCCGCAGCATGTCCCGCAAGCAGAAGCGCAGCGTCGTGCAGTCGCAGCACGACCTCGAGGTACTTTAGTCCTAGCGACTGCATCTAACGCTATCTGCGTCAGGTTCGCCGCGCCAAGGAGGCCAAGGAAAGCTGCTCAAGAAGCGCGAACACGTACGCTCTACCTTCCACCACCACGACCCTCAACGCTGCTTGTTTTAGCGCATTGCCAAGCAAAAGAAGACGGTAGAGAAGAAGGTGTCGTCCAAGGTCGCTCGCCGCATCAAGGCACGCCAAGAGAAGGAAGGCATCAAGGACGAGGACGAGAACGCGATGGACGAAGCGTAAATAAGAGCGCGTTCATCATCAACTAAAAGTACTAACTACAACTACTACTACTCCATGCGATCCAAGCACTTGGCCATATACGTGTCCATGTCCTGAATCTCTTCTAATGTATCCTACAAGACGCCGTGAGAGACGAACACGTTGAGTCGGTGTACCTTGATGACAGCGTGGACGAGGTTGGTCCACTCGGCATTGAGCGACTACGGGTCGTTCGCGCAAATATAGAGAGAAGATCAACTCGTACCTTGAGGTGCTTCTCTTGCTTGCCAACCCCACGGAGGCACGCGGCGAGCGTCGCGGCTGAATTTCGGTCCACCGTGGGCTTGCGCTGCTTCTCGGCGATTGGCGCCGCCTCAAAGAAGTGGGCGCCAGCGCGCTGGTCGTCGACCGTGAGCTTGAGATCGTTCAAGACGACAACATTCTTGAGCGCTTGGGCGACATAGGGCCGGAGCAGCCGCATGTTGCTCACTGGGTTTTGGCTCACGACGAGCTCTTCGGCGTGCGACCCGAGGTGCGCTATCCACGGCAGCTGGTCCAGCGACGTGATCTGGTTGCAAGCGAGCTCGACGCGGCGCAGTGCCGCAAACGCGCGGAGGTACCCGCTTTGGGCCACCGCGCTCACGACGACCGCGATCGGAATGTACTTGAAGACGATCGAGGTCACGATGTTGTGGATCTTGGCGGACTCGAGCGCCTCGAGCGCATCGCCGTAGATATACAGCGTGCGCGCCTCTTCCGAGACTTCGACTTCGGAAAACCCAATTTGAATGGTGGGCGCGGGTGCTTTGGTGTGACTCGACGCATTGCGTTGCCACGGGTCAATGCCTTCTTGAACATCGAAGCGCTCTTCCCACTTTTTTCGCACGGCCGTAATGGCTCGAATACGCTGTGCTTCCTACGCCATTGTCAAAGAGGAGTGGGTGGTATTGGATATGCGTACTTGGTTCTCTTCGCGCTGCTGCTCCCTCCGCTTCTCGGTGGCCCGTTGCGTCATACTGAACGCATCGCGCCGCTCGTCGTCCGTCACGACTTTGAGATCGAGGTTGCGCAAGGACACAAAGTTCTGGATGAGCAGCGGGCGGTACTCGGCGCTGTCGGTGCTGTTGAAGAGGTTGCCATCGAGCCGGAGCTCCGTGAGCGCCGTGAGCTACGCCGTTGTATCAAGCTCTGTGCCTATCGATCGCTACTACCTGGAAGAGCGGGAGGATGCTGTCTTTCGTCTCGAGCCGGTTGTTGGAGAGGAAGAGGCGCTGGAGTGCGGGCAGTTTGCCCAGATGCGGGGAGATGAGTGCGATGGCATTTCGGCGCAAATTGAGTTCCGTCAGAAGCGAGAGGCCAGCAATGTTTTCAAGGACTCGGATTCGGTTGCCCGCGAGGTTGAGCACTCGGAGCTCGACCAGTCGATCGAGTGCGCTCATCACTTCAATCTCGTTGCTAATGGTACAACTTAATGACAAGAGTTTGCAGGCAACTTAGCTCGTACCTGTGGAGGTCGAGCACGTCGAGCTTGGAGAGGCATTCAAGGTGCTGGATGCGCTTGAGCTTGTTCTTGCCAAGCATAAGGACACGTAGATTCGGTACGACATGCAAGTGGTCGATCGACTAGAGCATGATGGTGCGTCGACGACAACTCAAAAGACGACTCTACCTCGATTTGGTTGTTGTACAAGTCGAGAAAAATGAGGCTCGGAAGGCCATGGAGGTTGTCGATGCTGTTGATGACGTTGTTTTGGAGGTTGAGCAGCCGCAGCATGTGCTCGCCCTCAAGGAGTGGAATCACCTACTGACGGGATACAGTATATCGACTATCATTGGCGTGTACCTTGAGCGAACGCCGGTCGAGATTGAGGCGCTCCGGGTCGCTTAGTCGCGCTTTCTGACTCCGGTACACGACGGGCACACCGGGAATGTCGGGCGTCTCGGCAAAGCAAATGTCGGCTTCGCCACTCTCGACCTTTTCGCTCGGCTGGAAAAGAGGACTTGGCGCGTGGTCTTGTGATGCGGACGGACGCAGGTCCTGCTTGAACGGCGACTTGGTGGCTTCAAACGCGGTTGGCCGCAGCTGCTTGGGCACTTGTTGCCGCGCAAAGTCGGCGCCAAAGGACGGTTTGCCTGGCACCTATGCTCGCTCGCATGGTGTCCATGGCCATGCACGACGAGATGTACGGTGGGGTTGGAGGCTGACGGATGGAGCTTCTCGTGCGCCGCACTACGTTGCATTGGTCATCATGCGGCTCGAGGAAGCGACTCTACCGCACGTAGCCTTTCAGCGACGAGAGTGACGGGTCCGATTCGCGGTTGTTCGAGTTGAGCTACAGGACGCGCGTGGCAGTGATCCTTGCCAAGGCAACAATACCTGGCCGGCAGTCGATGGTCGCTCCGGGAGATTGGCTGCGAGCGGCTTGATTGCAGTGGGTTCTGGTAGCGCCTTGGCGTCCCTCCACTAGCACGGGGTTCGATATCTGTTGCATGTTTCTCGACCAACGTACGGATCTGGACGTGCTCTTGTCAGCATTGAGCTTGCGCACCGAGGACTGGACGCGGGCGGTCGTCGGCTGCTGTGACGGGTCGTTGTTGGTGCTCCATTTGGGCACAGCGCCAAGATGCGCACTCGTGTTGGTGCCTCGCATGGCAGCGCCGCCTTGGGCGCGCTTGGTCGTTCTTGCTTCTACGGGCATGCATGAGCCAATGTCGGCCATGGCGTCGTACGCTTGACGTTCTCGAAAAAGTCGGGAAAGTGCGTCTCTGCCAGCGTGACCTTGTCGTTGAGGCGTGCAACGACGCTGGGTGCCGCCTACGATGGTGGCGTGAGCGCGCTGGCTGCCTGCATCACGCCGCTACGTGGGGCTTGGTCATGGCTGCGGGTGCTCCGCCAGACAGGCGTCGCGCTGTGATCTTGCTGAAGAGGCCAATGGCCTTGGCGTTCGACGACGCCGACGCGCTTGGCGCGGCCAGCAAGGCAGAGTTCGGCGTCCCTTGCATGGACCGCGGCCGAATCTTTCGGCGTCTGTTCCAGGCTCAATGTTCCGCCCAATACAAGCAGCAAGGGCACGTGACCCTTCGACCTGAAACCGTATCGCGTCTTTGTAGCCGACATACAAATCCAGTATACATTCCAATCGGAGGATAGTGCACTGCAACCACTGCACGCCACCGCGTCTTCGCGCACAAGCTCCATCAATACACTGTCGCGTTTGCCGATCTACGAGTAGTGGTATGTCTTCCTTCTCTTGTGGGATTGCGATGGCTGCAGAGTTGACCCATTCCGCTTTCTACTTTTATAAGCGGCAGTCGCTTTAACCTGCCAGTTACAAGACGACACGTACGGCGACAAAGCGATCGACGATGGCCCGCGTCGCTAGCATCTCGATTTGGCTGGCGCCACTCTGCTGCTGCCTCGCTGGCGTCGCCTACGCCACGTGCCCTGCGCCCAATGACACGGCGACGTGGATGGCGCATCCGTCGACGGACCAGCGGTTCACGCCCCGCGACGGTCCAACCTTGACAAGTGCAACGTGCGCTCATGCTGGCGTAGGCCATGCCAGCACTGTCTTTCAAGGAAAGCTCTGGGTCATTGGCGGGCAGTCGGCACCGTACACGACGCGACGCTTGATTCGTACAACGCGGCGGTCGGACATTTGGACGTCGGTGGACGGCGACGTGTGGTCGCAGGTCATTGACGAGTCGCCCTTTCCTCGCCGGTTTGGCCACTCGCTCACTGTCTTTCCCGAGCCGTCGCTGAGTGGCCAGCCGATTCTCGTGCTCCTCGGCGGCTACGTGCCGACGCCAGCCAACGACATTTGGTACTCGCTCGACGGCGGTAGGCACTTGTTGTTGCCATTGGCGTGAACGCTCCCGCGTCGCCTAGTCGCGTGGTCCCAAGTCAGCTACAACGTGCCATGGTCGCCTCGCGGGTGGCACTGCGCAATTACCCTCAATAGCCTCTTCTATGTCATGGGCGGGAGCCCGCTCAATAACGACGTGTGGTACACGAGCTCCGTGGTTGGCGGTGTGCAGTCGCTCGAATAAGAAGGGAAAGGCGACCATGGGATCCACTGTTTAGGCAACTGGAAGAAGCTACCGAGTGTGCCATGGAGCCCTCGCGCGGGCCACGCCTGCGTGACGCACTCGATTCGGAATGCAACGCTCGGCGACGAGTCCGCCCAAGACGTCGGTGTTCTTCTCGGTGGCTGGGGCGCCGACACGGAGATGCTCAACGACGTCTACCGCATCGACATTTCGCGTGCGACTCTCCATCTAGAGCACCTTTCGGCACATGCGAACATGCACACTAGAGACGTGGGTGCAAGCAACGCCAGCCGCGGAATGGCCCGTCCGTGCCTTCACGTCGCTGATCTCGCTCCACGCCAGCACACCGTCCGACTACCTCTTTGGCCCGCGACTTTGGCTCCTGGGAGGCGGCCGCATTGGCCACGGCATCTGGCCCATGCACACGTACTCGGACGTATGGCAGAGCCGCGACGGGGGTACCTAGCGTCCTCCCCTATTTGCGATGGTTTTGCCCGTTGTGCTTAGTCACATGGCTTCCGATCAGCTCGGATGCGCTCGGCCAGTCGACAGCTGGCTGGTGTCAAGTGCTTATCGATGGCGCGTACACGTGCCTCGGCAAGTGGGGCCACACGGGTATATGTCAATCCTCTACATTTTTGAATCCAAGACACATACGATCTCTAGCTCTGGTGACGAGCCGCAACGTTCCAAACGTCAACGTCTGCGGCTTCAACTGCCGGTCCGAGTCGAACGCCACCAACCTCAACGGCAGCGTGATTCCGCAGTGTGATCCCAAGTCGACGCCGTCCGGCGCTACGGTCTCGACGACCATCGTCAACGGCATCTACCACATGAGCTCGTCGTTCGCCGACGGCTGCGGCGTCTGCACAACCGCGCGGTACTACCCAGTGACGACGCTACCGACGATCGTCGTCCTCGGCGGGTCCACGGGCGGCGACAAGGTGGCCGACGTCTTCCGCTCCACCGACTTTTGTGTGTGCTTTCACACGTCGTTCGTCCTCATGGAGGCTCATGCTTTGTGTCTAGTTTTGTGCGAAAAGAACGGGCAGGTGTGCAGCAACCAAGGCTCGTGCGTCACGGGCGGCGTCTGCATGTGCGACCCGCTCTGGGGCGGCGAGTACTGCGACCAGCTCCTTCCGCCCAGTGCAGGGAACTACCATTCGCTTTCGGTTCTACTCGTCGCAGCCGTGTGCACCATCTCGATGGGCATGTCGTAGACCATGCGAACCAAGGTTGTTTATTCCCTTGACGTAAAGAGACCCTCTTCCCTTGACGTAGCTTCGACGTTCGGTTCGTCTAATGACGACAGGGTGGGGCCCCGAGTCAGCAGCAAATAGCAAAGCCCTTGCGAGCAGGCGCGACGGGAGGTGGAGGCGCAACGATAGCAGCCGTCGCCATACCGCGGGAAAGAATATCGAGGAAGATCGCAAGGCAAATATCCGGATGTATGCCGTATGTCCGGATAAAACGACTTGGTGGTGGCGTGCACTTTCTTTAGAGCAGACATAGAGCATGGGTCGTGGCGGCAGCAACAACAAGCGCATCGTGGGGCTCCTCGTCGGCGCCGGCGGCCTCCTCTCGTTCTCGATGCCGTTCCTCATCGTGCAGAGCAAGAAGGACCAGAACACGATGAGCATGGAAGGCCCGCTCTCGACGTCGCAGATCCGCCGCGGCGTGTACATGAACACGGGCTCCAAGGACATTGGCCGCGACCCGGATTGGGACCTTACGACCAACTCGTACAAGGGTGCGCTCTTACATATGGCAATAGACTCGGCTAAGTTCTTGGATGCGATTAGGCCGGCGCACGGCGTACCCGCCCCGCGACGAGGCCAGTACGACCGACGCCTAGCGTTGTTGCTGTACACTAGTGTATTGTACGTATTGGCTACTCTGCTACTGGTCTTTGCTGTACAAGGCGTGGGCGGGCGCCTCGACACCACGCGCATAGAGCCGACCCACGATGGAGTTTTCGATCGCTTGCATCTACAGCCGGTCGTCTGAGGATATGCGAATGGATGGCACGTCGTCGTTGTACCGTCAGATTGAGCATCGACTCGCCGCTCTTGTCGAGCTGCTCGGTACGAATCGTGAGCATGCCTGCACGTAGCAGCGTGAGAAGGACGATGCAGATGCAAGTCGCACCGTTGGAGTTGCCAAAGAGCACATCGGTCGAGTAGCGGTCGCCGACCATGACGAGCTCGTGCGGCGCCACTTGGAGCTCCGACGTCAGCGCTTCGATGCCGTTGGGTTTCTGTGTTTATCGCGTTAAGCGGCGCGAGAATCGACATATTGATCGATGGCACAGACCTTGGTGCCGTGGCACAGCACCTTCATGCGCAGGCTGTCTTCGGTCTCGCTGGCGTGCGTAAAGGCCGGCGCATCGTCGCTCGAGCCGGCCGAATTGGAGAAAATGAGCACGCGATCATAGCCAAAGACCGATTGGCAGTCGTTCACCGCGTCCTATAGTGCTTGTGCGTGGGCGAGATACGAAGAGAGCAGACGTACCTGCACACGCGGGACAATCTCGCGCTTGTACGGCACGGTAAGCGTATTGTCCTTGTCGAAGACGACGCCCTTGAAGCCGAGCGCGTGGAGCTTGGCGAACGGGATGTCATTAATGTCTATGCCGACGCATAAACAACTGGCGTATACGAGAGCGCACCCTTGACCGAAAGGTGGGGTACGAGCAGCTTGGGCGACTTGAGCACCGCCGAGACGAACTGCGTCACGCCCGTCAGATTGAGGCCTTTCACCATCGCAGCGACTTTGCACTTTCCAGGCCAGCCCACGCTGCCTGCACGCTCATTGGCTCATTCTAGCCAATCTCCGAGCGCGCATTGCGATCCACCAGACAAGGAGGACCTTGCATGTGAGTTTTCCACCGCTAGAAGGATGCATCTCAACGACGAAGCCATGGCTACAACGATCAAAATGTACGTTGAAACGTGTATAAAAACTATCCGTCGTCGACGATGGACGCGTCACGGGAGCGCGTCGTCGTCCGACCCGTAGGCGGGGTCGTCGTTCTCGATGGCACCGTGGACGTCCAATGCTGCGTGTGCGCCGCTTCGATCGTCTTCGTCGACCACCGATACATCTGCGTTTGCTTCTGGTCGGGTGTTTTCAAGCGCCTTGGCATCGCGATGCACCTTGCGCCGAAACGAGCGCATGCCAATGGCCACGCCAATGTTGAAAGCCACGTTGAGGCCGACGTAGACACCGATGGTCACGTTCGTTGACTGCGGTCCTTTCTCGAGAAATACAAAGCTAAACGCGACGAGGTAGTAGACGTAGCGGATCGCGACGGACGGCCAGAGCACGCTGTTCATGCAGAGTTTTTCCATCTTGGTGGGCACGGTCGGACGGGCCACGTGCTTGTGCTTCTTGCGCACGCAGAGCCACAGGCCAATGAGGAACGAGCACATGGTCACATTGAGACCATCGAGCAGGACAAAGCCGACGTAGACGAGCGAGACGTCGCCGTACCACGCCATGTAGAAGCCCAGCACGAGGAGCAGGAGCAGCGCGTAGCCAGCGCCCGCGCGGCTCATGGCAAACATGATGCAGCGGTTGGACATGTGGTCTTTCGTCGCGCGGAGCGTCGCGCAAACGTACGCGATGTACAAGACCGTGTTGTCCACGCACGACATGAGCAGCGCGCCGAGGACGCCAAAGGTCGCTGGCGAGCCGTCAAAGGGGTACGTCACGTACAGTAGCAGCACGTCCGCGAAGAAGGCGACGATGCCTCCGATGGTGGCCATGATGAGGCACGGGCCCCACATGACCAGGTCGACCATGTTGCCTTTCTATTTGTGAAGTGGGCGGCGGGACCGCCGTGCCAGGAACAAGAATCCTGCAGATCGTAACGTCGCCAACGTCCAATCCAGAGCGTTGACGATGAGAAAGGTGGGTTTGTCTATTTGAAACGTCGTTATGGCGACGCTGTGCACATGGCTCGGATGCCGGCCTCGGCCGCCTTGATGATGTGCACCCATTGATGCTGCACGTGGCGCTCAAACGCCCTTTGCTTGGCCGCGAGCGTCGGCAGCGTGTGCAGCGACAGCGCGGTCGACCACACGTCGTCTTCCAGCGGCAGTGCAACGCCGTCTTTCGTGTGGAGCTGCTCGGCCGTGTAGTAGTTTTGATACAAAATGACGCCAGGCGCGAGCTGCGTCACGACAATCCTACAGCGTGCCGTGAGGGGATGACGTCGCGTCCGTCACGGGTGCATACCAGGCTTGGGCGTCGCAAATGTACTTGCCGACGGGGTACTTTTCGTCCTCGAGGATGTTTTGGCCCACGATGATGGACCGGTGCCCGGGCTCTGTAAACTGGCGTCGAAGGAAGTGCAGTGGGTTGGCCGACCACTCCTGCGTCCGGCTGTACCGCCCCGAGTCGTTCAAAAACTACATGCAACCGTAATGCTCATGATGCGGTGTGCATCTCTTATCGTACCTGCGTATCGAGGTCTTCCTTGGCAATGTTGGCGACCGAGACACGGTCGCTGATGTACATGCGGTGCAAGGCGTGCGTGATGCTCTCCAAGCTCGTGTGCATGATGGTCTGGTGGCGCTGGAAGAGCCGGTAGCGTCCGGCGTCGTCCCAGGATATGTGCAAGTCCATATAGTCCGCATGCTCGGTCGCGTGAAGCGGCGCGGTCGGAAAGGCACACTCGTCCAAGACGGCGTTTGTGTGGTGGAGCATGTGGTTGGTCATCCACTCAAAGCCAAGCCGGCGCGACTCGTCGCTCTTGAAGAGGCAAATGTTGCGCCACGTGGCAGCGTTCGCGTTCGGGAAGCGCTGGACGCTCGACATGGCCGAGACCCACGACGTCATGGCGCGGAGGAGCTCGCGGTGCTTGTGTAGCTTGGTCTTCAAGCTCGCATTGCAGGCTTGCGACGCATCGGCGGCATCGCGGAGCGCCATGGCCACCTCGCGCCATGGTAGCTGGCAGTCCTGTCGCGATGGTCCGCGCTTCTTGGGACCTTGGAGGCGGGCAATGTGTGCTTGGAGCGCAGCGGCCTCCTTCTGCAAGTGCTGCAGCTCGAGCACTTTGGACCGGCGGTAGTCGCGGATGCGCTGGCGGTGGAGTTTGCGCCGGAGGTACTCGGGGTCGGCGCTGCGCTCGAGCTCGTCCTTGACGTCGTAGAGGATCTCGCGGCTCGAGTAGGCCGCGAGCTCGGACGCGCCCTCGTCGTCGTTGATGGTCACGAAGCGCATCCCAGAAAGGGCAAACTGGCACCTTTTGGTGCATATTATTTAAATACAATGGCATGCACCGTCGCATCGCCATGCCGCATACAAAAACGAAGCTAAAGTGCGTGTCACCACTGTATTTTTATTGCATTACAATTAAAATGCTGTCGCCCGTCCAGCATCATCATCATCATCATCATCTTTCCTCTTCATCGGCATGTGATCAAAATGGCGCCTGGTCGGGCTCGATGTCTCTACCATCGACTACTACACATTGGGCGGACTGCAAATCATGGCCGAAGGACCGGTACCCGGTAGACGCGGATGTCCCGAGCCTAATCGTAGCGCAATCGCTTGCGAAGGCTCCAAGATCCAAGTAGCCACGTGGGTGTACCACCATGCCTCAAATGCAATTGAGTGCGTACGTGCTGGCCCTACTCTTATCTGTGTCGTCGTTATTATAGTTCTCGGGCGATTGTACGTTCACACAGAACTTATTGCGTGTACTAGTACCTCGTGTACCCGCTACGAGCCGTACGCCCAAACACGCAGTAGCTGACCACCTTGTCAGGCCGAGAGAGCCGAGACAACCAGTGCGGCGAGGCTCATCGGAAGAGCGAGTGCACCAAACACAAAACATTACCAGAATCGAGGAAATAGTAAAGCCACATTGACTTGCAACGAGTGCTGCAAATGGGGCCAACCTACTGCCCTCCACACGAGCGATCGCAACGTTGCAACCTCAGGATTTTTGCCGCATTTTATCATTTGAAAGCCCCGCGCCTCCTCCTACTGGTACAGTTGCAGTGTACCGACACGAGAGTACGCCATGTCCAATGCACTGGTTGATCAACGCTGCGCCCCAGCTTTCTGGAATCTCAAACAACACCACCACCGAGCAGCGCACTTTCTCTCACTTGCCGTGCGCACGAGCCAAGTACACTCTACCCTCTCGCCCTCACAGACGAATAACACGCCATAACAACCACAACCCTTGCTGTTGCACTCCCAGCAACATCACCAGCAGCAACGAGATGCTTTTTGTCATCCTCCGCGCGCAAGTTCCCGCCATCATTATCATCATCATACATCGTGTTCGCGTGTTATCAAAGCAGCGACAACAATCTCAAAGACTTTGCATACATAGCGCTACGCTTGAATGCGTGGGTCTTGGCAGGGGCTGGGGACTTGGTCGTTGGGAGCGAGCTGTGCAGGAAGAGATCCATTCCGTCGTTGGCCCCACTCGAGTTCCCGCCAAATACACTAATTGAAACCGGTTTTTGGACGGGATCGGCCCCAGCCAATGCAGCTCTGCGCGTCGGCCTTTATTAGATGACACTACGTTAGTGCACTCACGTTGCTAGTATGGGGAAGGCGCACAGAGGCATTATTCTCATGTGGGACCGTGTCCTTGGCATCGCATCGCGCACTAGAAATGGTGTGCACACTATTTCGTCTGATGAAATAAATGCCATCGTTTTGGCCAATGGCATCGCGCCAAGATAACTGGCCACGGGCCAATTGCTACGTGGTTGGAGTCGCTGCCAAGTTTCTATTGCTTTTTTTGCTTCATCAAACCATGGCCGCCAACCTCAACATCTCCAAGAAGCGCAAGTTCGTCGCTGACGGTGTCTTCTTCGCCGAACTCAACGAGCTCCTCCAGCGCGAGCTCGCTGAGGATGGTTACTCGGGCGTCGAAGTCCGCGTCACGCCGGTCCGCACGGAAGTCATCATCCGCGCCACGCGCACGCAGGAAGTCCTCGGCGAGAAGGGCCAGCGCATCCGCGAATTGACCTCGGTCGTCCAGAAGCGTTTCAACTTCGCCGATGGCGCCGTCGAGCTCTACGCCGAGCGCGTCGCCAACCGCGGCCTCTGCGCCCAGGCCCAGGCCGAGTCGCTTAAGTTCAAGCTCCTCGGCGGCCTCGCCGTGCGCCGCGCCGCCATGGGTGTCCTCCGCTTCGTCATGGAGTCGGGCGCCAAGGGCTGCGAAGTCATTGTCTCGGGCAAGCTGCGTGCCCAGCGTGCCAAGGCCATGAAGTTCAAGGAGGGCTACATGGTCAAGACCGGTAACGCCAACCTCGAGTACGTCGACACGGCCGTCCGCCACGTCCTCATGCGCCAGGGTGTCCTCGGTGTCAAGGTCAACATCATGTTGCCGCACGACCCCACGGGCCGCATGGGCCCCAAGCGCCAGTTGGACGATGTCGTCACCATCTTGGAACCCAAGGAGGAAGTCTACCGCCCGTACGTCGAGCCCACGCCCGAGACGCTCGCTGCCCAGCAGTAAGCGATCCCGCCACGTCGTTAAGACACGAAGCAAAAAAGACTTGTTGGTTGCTATGTTTCACTCCATGCATTTCCACCACCCGCACCCAAGAGCTGCAGTAGCGTGTTGTAGTACACCTCGAGTGTCGTCGAGGTCCTTGGCGGGCGTGCCAACCGACCAGAGTCTGTGGCCATACTCCGAGACCTGGCGCTGAGCTAAACCACGCAATTGCTTGCAAGACTCCTTGGTGTCGGGCGTGGTTGGGAGCACTCTAGCGTCAAGGTGCGCCCAAGTGGTATAACAGGCAGACTGGGCCATCGTCGATGAAGACTGATGCTCATTGTGCTTGCCGTCAAGTCAATCCAAGGCGCAAGCAATATAAAGTATATTATGAGGTGGCATACACAGGAAGCGGAGTTACTTGAGGTTGGCATACTTGGACTTCTTGCCCTTGGCCGGCGCGCCGCCCTTCTTGAACTTCTTGGCCTTGCTCTCGTCCTTGGCGTCGGCGCTCTCGTTGGCCTCGCGCTTCTTGGCCATCTTCTTGGGGTTCTTGACTGAGACGCCCTTGGCCGTCGGGTCCTTCTTCTCGTTGAGGGCCGCGGCCCAGTCCGCGTCGTCGCCGCGCACCGCGTACTGGTTCAAATTGAGCGTATCGAGGAGCTCCTTCTGCTTGAGCTTCTTGAGCGCCTGGTCTTTCGCGTCCGCGAGGTCTTCCTCGAGCGTGAGCGTCGTCGGGGCCATCGTCGCGACCTCGGTCGGCGCCGCGATCGTCTCCTCGACCTCAGCCTCGAGGATGCCGTTGAACGCAGTCGCAAACTTGCGCACGCTCTTGTTGAAGAGCGCGAGGAGCTGGTTCGAGGGCACGTTGAGCTCCGAGACGAGCGTGTCGACGCTCTGGTGCTGGAGGCCGATGCTCATGAGGATCCGCGCTGGAGGTACGAGAGCGTCGTCTCCGGGAGGCGGTTCAAAAAGTACAAGCGCGCGACCGACGGGATCAAGTCGACAATCATGTGGTAGTCGACCATGTTCTTGGCGTAGCTCTGGAGGCGCTTGATATCAAACGGCGTCAACGAGACCTGGAGGTCGTTGGACGAAATCAGACCCGACGACACGCGGAGGAGGTTCGCGGCGTCTTCCGACTTGGTCTTGGCGTCCGAGAGGAGGCTGAGCGCCAGCGTCGGCGGGAGCGACCGGAACTCGTACGAGAGGAGCGCCATGAAGCGCTTGCGCGCATCGCCGACAAACTCGTCGAGCCAGCCGGTCGACGGCGACGCCGGGAGGTCGTCGCACTTGAGCGCGTTGAGCATGATCGCCGTGTGCTCGCCCGTGAGCGCGTTCGCCGTCTGGCGAATGTACACAGAGCGGAAGCCCGCGCGCGACCAGAACGTGTAGAGCGGCAACGTCAAGCCAAACGACGTGCCAAACCAGTGGAGACGCTCGGCCGGGCGGTCCGTGAGCGGGAGGAGGAGCGGCGGCAGCGCCTTCCGGGGCTTGACCTTTTCCTTGAGGAGGTTGCCTTCGTCGTCCGAGTTGTCGTCGTCGTCGTCCTTCTTGGACTTCTTGGACTTCTTCTCGGCTTCGTCGTCGGACGCGTCCAAGTCGCCGCTGGCGAGTTCGCCTTGGTAGTACTTGGTGAGGAGCTCGATCGCGCGCGACCCGTAGCCCATGTTGGTGACATCTGGGTGCGTCGCAATGCGAACGACGCGGGCGCCCGAGAGACCTGCAAACTCGTTGTCTTGGAACTGCTGCGCGACCGTCCACGGGATCAAGTCGCCGCTCGCCCGCTGGCCGCGCGAGAGCTGGGCGGCCACCGACTCTTTCGAGATCTCGCCTTCGAGCGCGATTTGCACGACGCAGAGGACGTCCGGGAGCTGCCCGGCGTTGCCCTGGCCCTCGGCTTGGGGGCCGAGGAGCACAAAGATGTGGTGCGCCGGCGCGTCCGAGAGCAATTGCAGGTCGTTCGGCTGGTTCTTATAGTGCGACGCGACGTAGAGCGACATGAGGCGCTGCAGAAAGTTCTCCGAGAGCTTGTGGTACGAGAAGAGCGAGTCGCGGTCGACGTAGTAGAGTTCGCACTCGCGCGGGTGCGGCGTGCCGCCCATGATGCGCTGGGGCGTGCTCCCGCAGTCGAGGCAGAGCAGGTTGTTGAGCCACTTTTCGACCGCGTCGTTTTGCGCGTACCGGATTGGAATCTCGAGCGTGACTTCGCGGAGGACGCGGCCGCCACCGGCAGCGGTCTGCGGCGCCGCCATGTGCTGATGGGCGGCCGCGCTCGCGGCCTGCCAGCGCTCTTCGTGGAGCTTGCGCTCACCCTTGCGCGTCTTGTTGTCGCCGTGGATCGACGACATGGCGTGCTGGGCCGCCATGCCCGCCGAGCCCTGCTGCTCGCGGAGCTTCTGGATGAGCTTGAGCGAGAGCGACCGACCGGTCCCTTCGTAGCCGTTGATCGTCGACGACATGAAGACGAGGTACGGTCCGAGGAGGTTCTTGACGACCGGGAGCGGGATCGCGGCCGCCTCGTCAATCGCGAGGAGCTCGGCCTGCGCGAGCTTTTCGTGGTGGTGCGGCTGGATGTACTGGATCGTCTGGCGGTGTTCGCGGAAGATGTTGACGCGGACGACCGCGCGATTGAACTCGGGGTTAGTGCTCTGGATGATCTCGTAGTCGAGGTGCTCCTTGTACTTGAGCGCGTCAAAGCCCTTGAAGACGAAGTCAAAGACCGTGCCGAGGTTCTCCGGCGACGGCGCCGTCACAAAGATGTTGCTGTAGCCGTACGCGACGGCCGCGGCGAGCGACATACCCAGCGCCGCCGACTTGCCGCGACCACGACCGGCCGTCAGCGTCACGGTCGAGCGCAGCGTCTTTTCCGAAATGGCTTCGGCAAACGTGAGAATCGCCTTGGCCTGGTCGAGCGTCTTGGCCTGCGCGACGAGCGACCCGACGGGCTGCGTGTCCTTGAGCGACTCCTTGAGGTCCGCGAGCTCGCGCATGTCGGGCGTGAGGTCGTCTTCGACCGGCGGCAGCGCTTCAATGTTGCGCGCGTGCTTGGAGATCGGGAGCACGTTGAGCTCGTCGTCGAGGACGAGGCACTTGTCGCAGCCCGAGAGCGAGAGGATGAAGCGCTCGTTGAAGCGCGCGACGACGTCCTGGTGGGCCTCCGTGCGGAAGCGCGAGTGCACGTCCATGGACATGGTGTAAAGCTTCTTGAGCGACGACATGGTGCGGAGGAGGAGCACGACGACGCCGCCGCCCTCGACCGTCTCGATCGTGCGCGCGAGGATGTTGGGCGTGACGGCCTCAAAGTCCTGGAGCACGCACATGCCATAGGTCTGGCCAAGGATCTTCTGCGTCTCCTTGTAGTAGCACCACCGAATGTCCGTGGACGAGATGAAGAGCTCGAACGGGTCTTCCGTGTTGCTGTCGTAGAGGCCGCGCGACATTTGCTTCTTGATCTGCTTCATGCGCTTCTGCTTGTGCGTCGAGAAGCCGAGCTCCTTCTTGTAGCACCAGAGCACTTTCGGGCGGGCCTTGACCACGGTCTTGGAGAGGATGTAGTGGAGGTTCACCACCTGGTCCTTGCCATGGTCGCCGACGAGCACGATGAAGCTGCGGTGGTTCGTCTTGACGCAGTTCTCGAGCAGCGTACGGACGCGCGCGTCCACCTTCTTCTTGACCATGATGATCTTAGTCGGCAAATGGCAGGTTCAACCACCAACCAAGCGCCACGACAGACTAAGTGCGTTTACCACTCGATTAAGTGCGGTATCTTGTGGCTGGTCGCATTGGCGCCAAGTCGACGACTGGCGACGTGGCGAGGCTGCCACGTGGAGGCGCGAGCTGACAAGCGACGAGAGATGCCAGCAGTGTATCTGTCTAAGGCTCAATAGGCCATAGGCCGTGGACCAATTCTGGCTCATGTGCAAAGTGCCAAGTCGATGGCCGAGACAACATTTGCAAGGTGGCTACCGACGACAGCACTGGACAGCATCTCGATTGGCAGCGGTGGACCCTTCTGTACAAGTACGAACAGTGGTTAAAGGACGTAGCAGAAGAGACACTGGTACGGTTGCCCGTGTAGCTCTGCTTGGCGCAGATTTAGAGTTTTTTAGGGTCTTGGCCGCACTTGAGGGTGGGTGGTGGACCATCGCATGCGTGGTGCCTCTGTTTAAGGACTTGATTCGACTTTCATTCGACTGTAGTCGCCGACAGGAAGCTCTGTGTGCAATCCATTGTACTAGGCACCGACGCGTCATGGGCTTGCTGCGGTCAAGGAAGTTCCTTCGAACTACCCAAGGGAATTCCCTGTCGTATCCGGTACCCGCTTGCTTTATCCGGATACGCTCGGTAACCGTGGCCCGTTGGAGCGAAATGTGGAGCGTGCGCCTGCGGTCGCCGGCCAAGAGCTCAGTGCTGCGAATCGACAGCGCTAGCTCGCTCCAGGCCTTCCGAGGTACGAAGCTACATGGCTTCTCGCTGGACCATGGGCTTATGCGAGCGCGCAGAGCAAGCGCTGACCGCGCTGGGCCTCGCGGTCTCGGATGGCTACACATGTACGTCGACCTCTCCTGCACGGGCATGATGAGCACTCCATGGCCTAGTCAAAGGTGGCTTTCCGCCTAAGGAATTGCACGTCGAGGGTGATGCGCCAATGACCAACGTCGTCCAGAACAACGACACGGTGCTCATCGAGCCAGCTCTTGCGGCGGCGCGGCCCGGGCCTGCAACGCGGAGCATGACCCCAAAGATGGCTCCAAAGACGGCGCCAAAGGCACCCCCCGCTCCGCCACGACGGACGACGACCATTGCTGCGAAGAAGGCGAAGCGGGTGCCAAAGCCCAAGTTTACAGGCCACGGGCATGTCCTCGGGTCGACGGTACAGGACGACGACGCGGAGAGCGATGCGCCTATCGAGCCGTCGCCTCTGCCCAAGCGCCGCAAGATGATCCAGCTCGGGAGCAAAGAAGATGTGGGTGAAAAGCTCGTCCACGCGGTGAGCAGCCATCGCGGAGCGTCGACGACCGATAAATTTTTGCGCTCGGCGACAAAGTCGGCCGTCAATCACCAGTACGAGATGACGTTGGCGAACGCACGGCTCCACGCAGCGCTCGCGGGTGCCTACTCGATGCAGACGCTGACGCCCAACGCACTCGGCGTGGCGCAGATGCGCGTTCGGTTCCTCGAGCGTGCGCGCACGTGGCGCGACGAGCAACTCGACCTCTTGCAGCCCACCGAGCTCACGTCCATTCTCAAGTACGTGCTTCTCTCGGGCGGCGAGACGGGTCGCGAGATGCTCAAGCCCTTCAACATGGCCCAGTGTTCGCCACGGTAGCGAGAAATGAGGTTTCGAAGCTCTCATTTGATGTTGGAGATAGTGTCTTTTGGAGCCTTGCACGACTGAGTGACGGCGACGTGGCCGCGGCGCTGGAAAAGCTGCTCCCGAACGAAGATTGGTCGTTCCTTGGCACGCGGACGCGGTAGGTTCATGTCTATGGAAACCACTGACCAGTGGACGATCCGATCAAACGATAGCACGCTGAGTGCCAAGGCCCTCGAAGCGCAGGTGCACATTTTGATCCTCGCAAGCTCAACGCTCTCGTCTGTAGACGCACTCACAGCACTATCGCACCGAAGTGCGTGACGAAGAGCCTCCGCTGCCGACGGCGGATTCCGACGTGCCAGTCGTCAGCGAGATGGAGACCCCTCGCGTCGACCGAGCAAGTATGCGAAGCGTCGCGGCCAAGGCTGCGTTGGCGCGGCTCCGAGCTGCAGAGCCTGTCGCACCCATGCGTGCTCCAGAGATCAGCGATGGTGCTGCGGAGGATGTTGGTGATGACGACGTCTCCACGGTCGTCTGCGATGCCTGTCAAAAGGCCCGGATCGTCCCCGCCGATAAGAGCCAGATCGTCGGACTGGACGAGTGTGGCGACTGGACGTGCGCCCGCGTAGACCTCTCGAAGAAATGAAGTTTGTCGTGCTCATGCAACGCTGTAGCTTGCCGCCATCGGTCGAGGCGACGGCTGTGCCATGGTCGACGACGAAGTGCTTTCCATCGTCACCGACGCAACGATTGGCGCGTGTTTGATCCAGATCGGCGTGCGGACACGCGCCGAGCTCGCCAGCGCGGCGGCCGAAACCCTCTTTTCGTCATGGCGGACGGCGTGCCGTGGCCACCTCATGGATCTCGACCGTCTCGAGTGCTTCATCGAGCAGGTGACTAGCTTGCCGGTGTCGCTGCAGAATCGATCCTTTTGCTTGCGTAGGCACGCGACGAAGAGCTCGATGCGATGGTCCAGAACATTGTGGGCGACAGCGACGTGTACGATGCGCTTGTGGCGCGTAAACTCGCGACGCCCCACGACGTGATGCTGACGCCTGCCGATGTCATCCTACGCGACGTGCGCTCGGCGCTACAAGCAGCAGCAGTGTCGCTCGACACGATCCAGCAGTGGAAGCTTGCGTGCGCGTCGGCGGTCGAGCAACACCCGTGGCTCGACGACTGGCGCAGCATTTGAGTCCACTCAACGCCAGTTTTTGAGTTTGATGATGCACCGTCCTACTTCCTTTCTGGCCGAGTGCTGAGATGGTGTCAATGTCCAATTGGAGATCGGTGCGTCAAGAGGTCACACGAGGCTTCCATGTGAGTAGAAGGCGTCGATTTGTACGCGTTGTTGAGGTTCGCAGGTCGACGATCCAAAATGATCTGGGAGGGATAACGTTACACTCGTATCCGGAATTCCTACCACCTGTCCGGATACTAAGAACTAGGGCCGCGGCGGCCGTCTTCTTTGGTTCAAACGCGACATGACAAAGCCAAAATTATTATTACATGCTATAATAAAATGACACTTCACTCTACACAATATTCGACCTTTCGCTCCTTACCAGTGTAGACCGTTATTAATAAAATATTGTCTGCTTTGGATACAATAATGTCATAAAAATTAGGTATTCACACTCTCGATCTCGATTACCACACAGCGAGTTGTCGAGTCAACATCCATGCCAATCCGTGTGATGCGATCGCGAACGCATCTTTTTGACCGCATGTCTACCAAGGACATCCTCGGTCATCTCCCTCCTGAAGGCCAGCGCTTATTTAAGGCCAAGTCGACGCCGCTACACGCACAGCACTTAGCGTGTGGGCAGGAAAGGAAAGGAAATGCGCGGTCATGTCGCTGGGCCCAAGCGTGGTGCTGGAGACGTCCGAATCCGCATCCGAGGGGCGTGCCCCCTCCTGTCGGAATTTCTCATCAACGTTCGCGAGCCATCGCGAATATGGTTTGGCCAAGGCACATCCTCGCGAAGCCCGTATTCTTTCGGCGAGCATGGCAGGAAAGACATGAGCAGCATTTCCACGCATGGAACTTGCTTCCTCCATGACCGGTACACGTCGATCTTAACCCTCCAAGAACGGAAATCGTTTTCATCGTTCACGTAATCCAAGGCGCGCCGCATCCGCGGTCTCCTGTTCGACCGTATCAACATATCTACGAGCTAGTGATTCGTACGAATACGAATCGTAAAAGACAATATGTCGATGGCCTGAATGACAACTGGAGCAGCGTGCAAGGTGACGATCTTCGTGAGTTTCTTCCGCGTCCTGATTGGCTGTAGCCATGCTTTTCGTCATGAGTCGGCGGATCATGACACGGGATTTTGGCCAATCGCAGGCCGCGTGAAAAATCCGGTACGGATAATGGTATCCGGATCGAAGAGGATCTCACGGTTGCGCAGTGGCATTGCGAATTCGCCTTCGACCCCTCACCTTCCTCAGCATGGCTCTCTCGGACGTTGGTCTCTACGGCTTGGCCGTCATGGGCCAGAACTTTGCGCTCAACATGGCGTCGCACGGCTTCTCGGTCTCGGTCTGCAACCGGTCGCCGGACAAGGTCGACACGACGGTCCAGCGCGCCAAGGACGAGGGCAACCTCCCGCTCGTGGGCCACAAGGACGTCAAGGACTTCGTGCTCTCGATCGCGCGCCCGCGCAAGATCATCCTCCTCGTCATGGCTGGCAAGCCCGTCGATGACACGATCGCCGCGATCGCCCAGCACTGCGAAGAAGGCGACATCATTGTCGACGGCGGCAACGAGTGGTACCCCAACTCGCTCCGCCGCGCCAAGGAGCTCGAGCCCAAGGGCATCCACTTTGTCGGCATGGGCATCTCGGGCGGCGAAGAAGGCGCTCGCAAGGGCCCGTCGCTCATGCCTGGCGGCCCGCGCGCGGCCTTTGACGCGCTTGAGCCGATCCTCGTCAAGTGCGCGGCCCAAGTCGACGACGGTGCGTGCACGACGTACCTCGGCGAAATTGGCTCGGGCAACTACGTCAAGATGGTCCACAACGGTATCGAGTACGGTGACATGCAGTTGATCGCCGAGGCCTACGATGTCTTGAAGATCGCCGGTGGCTTGACCAACGCCGAGCTCGGCCAGGTCTTCACGGAGTGGAACTCGGGCGAGCTCGAGTCGTACTTGATTGAAATCACGGCCGCCATCTTCAAGAAGAAGGACGACCTTGCCGGTGCCAACAAGGACGACTACCTCGTCGATAAGATCTTGGATAAGACTGGCATGAAGGGCACGGGCCGCTGGGTTGTGCAGGAAGCCGCCGAGCGCTCGGTGGCGGCCCCCACGATCACGGCGTCGCTCGATGCTCGCTACCTCAGCGGCCTCAAGGAGCAGCGCGTGCACGCCTCCAAGATCCTCAACGGCCCCACGGAGATCCCGTCGGTCGACAAGCAGCAGCTCATTGACGATGTGCGCCAGGCGCTTTACGCGTCCAAGATCTGCAGCTACGCGCAGGGCCTCAACTTGATCCGTGAAGCCGGTGTCCAGAACGGCTGGAAGATCGACTTGGGCGAGTGCGCCCGCATCTGGAAGGGCGGCTGCATCATCCGCGCGGCGTTCCTCGACCGCATCAAGGCTGCGTACATCAAGGACCCGTCGCTCGACAGCCTCTTGATCGACGCCGACTTTGCCAACGAGCTCAACGCCCGCCACTTTTCGTGGCGCCGCGTCGTGTCGCTCGCGGTCGCCAGCGGCATCCCGACGCCCAGCTTTTCGGGCTCGCTCAGCTACTTTGACATGTACCGCCGCGCCAACCTCCCGGCCAACCTGACGCAGGCGCAGCGCGACTTTTTCGGCGGCCACAGCTACAACCGCACGGACCGCGAAGGTGTCTTCCACTGCGAGTGGACGGATGCCCACCACAGCATTGGCAACGTCGCCGAGCGCAACCGCGGTAACTTGTAAATACAAGCGTCCGATTCGATGTGTACACGTCGTCCTGTCTCTTGATACTGCGAACGGTGCACGACGCGAGAAGCTCGAGGGAGCACCATCCCACTTTTTGGTCGCGTGGCAGCTCAATGCAGCCCATCATATTGTGTGTCTTGTTCCGCACACAAATTTCGGTCAGCCGTGGGCGCAATGACTATGATAGCATCAAGGGTCCTTCGTAGCAACGTCGCAGATGCAAGCAGCTATACCCAGCTTCATCGGGATCTCCACGCATGGGTCCAACCATTGGCCAAACGATGGCCTTCCTGTCATCACTCGCCGACGATCCGACCGGTCCATGGCGCTGGAACCTTCGCACTGTGCTACAAGTCTGCTACAAGCCATAGCGTAGGAACCCGCAACCAGAAAAGAAGAGCCAGCTGAGCTGGCCAAGGGCGCTGCATCAGTGTACAGCTTCGTCTCTCGTTGGCAGTTCACTCAGCCGTGAATCTTGTGCACCGCGAGAAGATCGGTCGCCCCAGCCCTATCATTGGCTCGCAGCAGCCAATCACAACGCGACCAGACGAATGAGCGGGCAGAGCGCCGGAGCGACGAGCGCCCTGCCAAGCAGCACGCTCGCAGACTCGTTGGAGCAGCTTCGAGCCGCCGTGTTGGCAGCTGCGCATGAAACCGCCCAGTGCGGCACCAGCGTCCCGTGGTACAGACCCACGTACGCGGTCGAGAACGGCTCCGACGTCGTCGCGTACACGTCGATCTCCGCCATGGACGCCTACGCGCACAAGTCGGCGGAAGAGCTGCGCTACGAAGACTACCTCCAGCGCAAAGACATGAAGGCAGCACGAGCACAGGCCGCGATCGTGCCCGCACCGCCCGCGGAGGAGCCATCGAAAACGAGTCCGCCGGCCGATAAGTCTCAACTGGTTACCAGTACCCCCACATCGTTCGGTTCGTTTGGAGCAGCTCGACCCGAGACCGCGTTTGAAGCGGGCACGAAAACGAACCTAGCGCCAGCACCAGCAAACACTTTTTCAGTTGGCGGGGCCCACAGCGTTACCTTTGGAGCCTCCCCAACACGCGATTCGACCTTTGGCTCTGGGAAGCCGCCGTCGACGGCACAGTCATCTGGTTTCTCGTTTGGAAGCGCGACCAAAGCTGCATCAGGCTCCCCGTTTGGTGCTCCATCGTCGACCACGCCTGGATTTG